TCTATATTTTAAGTTTTACACACACACACACACACACACACATATATATATATATACAGTATATAAGTGTGTATGAATATTATTAAAATGATATAATAATATTATACTTTAATAACCATTTATTGAAAAAAAGCCTTTACATTATCACTAGTGAAAGTAAAGACTAGTATATTGTTAAAAAACATTTAAAATAAATGCTGTTCTTTTGAACATTCATCAAAGAAAACAAATGTATCACAGTTTCCTATTTGGCTGCATATAAAATTTAGCAAAAAATTTAGAAAATAAAGCATACAATCAGTATATTAAAATGATTTCTGAACGATCTTGTGACACTGAAGACTGGACTAATGGCTGCTGAAAATTCAGCTTTGCCATCACAGGAAAAAATTACAGTTTAATATTCAAATAGAAATAAAAAATATTCAAAATACTCAAATTGTAATATTTCACAGTCTAAATATTTTTACTAAAAAAAAAAAAACTAGCAAGCCCAAACATTTGAACGGTAATGTGAATATATACATAGCTGCCTTAATATTTTAGGAAGTGGGTCTATCATAAAGGAATCATCACCATTTGGGGGTCCTCGGCATCAAAAATGTTTGGAAACCCCTTACATAAACAATTTAACTAGTCTTAACTTAAATAATTAACGTCTGCCATAAGCAGACTATATTGCAAAAACAGATATTTCCTTTAGGTGTCTCATTGACACCACACATGTGAAAGAGTACCAGCATGTGCCAGCTCACTAGTGACACCCTATCTGACCTACATCACAATGTTCCCTTAAACCTTAGACACAAAATACAAAGGGCCGCTTGACAAATTCCTTGTGCCTGGTGCAATCCTATACCTTGAGGAACTGCCAAATCACATGGATCATATGAGTAAATGTTACATGCACTTTCAAACACGCAACGTAAATTTGTAAAGAGTAACTGACGGGTGAGTGTGTGTAAGGCCAATGCAATTGTCCTTGAAATACCCCAGAGTTGATTACGCTGAGTTGTGGGCCAGCTGGCTGTGCAAAAGTGCTGACATCTCAAACGCAGACACAAACACACACACACACACACACACACACACACGCGTGCGCACACACACGCACAAGAGACATTGGCCATCTTTTCAAACATTTAAGAAAGAAAAAAATTAAGAAAGAACAGCTTTTCTCAACTCTGACAGAAAAGATATACTTACACTAAAATTGGCTGAGATCTTGTCGATGATAACACGTGCCTTTATGAAAAAAAATTATACTGATTAATAGGCAGTGAATAAGGCAGTACATCATAAAGCAATGAAACAAGATGATTAATAAATATTCTGATTGATAAAGTCTCTTATGTTAATTTATATGGGTATTAGGTAGATTTTTTTATTTAATTAAAACACTTTTTTCTGACTTTTACAAGGATATTCCCCCTTTCTACCTATAGTAAAAACATTCTACTGACATCTGAATCTTTCTGTTTTTCCACTGTGCTCCCATCCTCTGCCTTCCTTATGTTTTGGGTGGACATTGAGATGGATATGCAGAATTCATGTTTGGTCATGCAGAAATGATTAAAAGGGTTGGGCAGTGACACAATCCTCTACCTATATCAGATACCATGGCTCCTCTGACAGCAGTCGTCCATCTGTTGTAAAGCCCTCAAGACTAAACCCACACTGCCTGCTTGTAACCTTTGACCTCTACTCAATTTCTCACCCACTAGGGTCTACTCGGTGTCCAAAATTAACCCACCAAATGCAAAATGCAAGTAAAAATGGTCTTAGGCAAGCAAATAAAATCATACTATAGGCTATCTGGCTGGTAGCATTATTAGAACTGTTACAAGGTGTAGGTCAAACTGTAAGATATCTTACCGTCTGAACCTTGCTGATGTAACATGAGAGATTCAAATAAAATGTGTAACAATGTTGAATATTTCTCACAAATTCTACCAAAATTAAAATATAAAAAATTAAATTAAGATTTTGTTGACAGTTGTTGACAATTTTGTGTATGATACTATAAATGTTTCTCATAGTCCTTTTAATGTATTCCTTTATTTTCTTTTTACTTTTTTCTTTTTTGTTTTTCTTATTTTTTATTAATATTTTTTTAAACCTTTTTGTAACTATATCTTTTTCAAATATACTTTTTTGGAAAATTTTGTTGACAGTTGTTGACAATTTGATACTAGATACTATAAATGTTTCTCATAGTCCTTTTAATGTATTCCTTTATTTTCTTTTTACTTTTTTCTTTTTCTTATTTTTTATTAATATTTTTTTTAACCTTTTTGTAACTATATCTTTTTCAAATATACTTTTTTGGAAAATACTTTGAATTACCACCATGTATGAAATAAGGTGCTATATAAATAAATTGCCTTGCCTATGACTGACACTTGCCTATGACTGACCTGTATGTGATGTTTGTCATAAAATGCTAGGGAAAATCTCATTGTCATAGGAACAGATATATATTTTTAAAACAAATAATGCAAAATTGTATCATGACATGAAATATTTTTAATTTTGCTAAATTATTTGCCTTGCATGGCAAATGTATGCAGATGTGGCAAAAATGGTGTGTACCTGTGCAGGGGTGAAAGGCACAGAGGCGAGGGTGCTGAGAGCAGGCATGAGCTGGGCTGAGGTCAGCTGCTGCAGGACACTGGATCCGAGCAGGGGCAGAAAAGGGCCAAGCTCAGAGACTCTCTGAGGAGTGAGACTGGAGGGAGACTGCAGGTCAGACGATTTCAAGACCAAGCTGGATATCTGGACACAAAAAGAAAAGAAACCACAAACCAGAGGCTATTTTATATGTACCACTACTGTTATTTAAGTTTTTTTTTTAAAGAAGATGGTGAATATAAATGACAGCGATAAATGAGACAATTGATCTGAAACATGTTTACTGACCATATTGCTAGGAACACTAAAACCCTGAATTGCACATGTCCTAATGTTGTCCTGGATCACAGAGAAGGCTTCCGTTCCTGCATATGCCATCAGCTGGCTGGGGTGAGCCAGACAGGACAGATTACCTAACCTGGAGGGGTGTGAAAGGAAACAATTTTTTTTTTTTTGCTTTTTACATTTCCATGTCCCAAATCAAAATAAAAAAAATCAAGAAACTCTATTGATTTCGTCTTAATGGAGTAAAATAACATTGTATTTAGCTAACCTCCTGAACTCGTCAACAGTGAGATTCCGGAAGGTTCCAATGAGACTCTGAGCAATGAACTGCTGCTTAAGTGGACTCAACGCGTTACTCATCAGGACATCCAAACCATCCAGCAGCTAAGAAAACACAACACAGGACAATGAGAACAAGAGTATGTCATAAGTGATAATTTAAGACAATTTAATAGTCATTTAAACATCAAAAAGTCATTTTTCATTTATCTTAAATGGTCATTTTAAAATAGAATGACTGCACTGTAAAAACGGATTTTCTAAGTTGTAAATAAAACAAAAATTATTAGAGTACATTTGACAAGAAAATACTATTTCAGTCTTTCTACTTCAAAATTATTTCTTACTTTATTGCTTTATTTGTGAAATTGACTAGCAATTTCTGAGTGCTTCAAGGTACATCCTACACTAATTTTTTCTGGTGTATGAAATATGAACCATTCTATATATTTAAATATTATTAATATTAAATTTGTGAATTCTGAAATGTCCTGTTTATATGAACAGCAGTGAAGAACTTTTCATTACGGTGTTAGCACCACAGTCCACTACACAGCCATTCTTAATTCATGTGTTTCTGTGTTTATTTATTGAAAACAGACTACAAGGGCATGTCTGTTACAATGAACCTGTGGCAAGCATTGGCATTTTCCCCAGATGAGCTGCCTGAGGGTTAACCGGAGCCAGATGGGTTCAGGTATCTTTGTGAGGTGTTGGGGCTGTTACCTGAGCAGGTGAGAGGTACTGGAAGCTCTGGAAGGGCAGATAGGCGATCAGGTTACCAATGTCTCTGATAACGGATAAGCTGCCAGCTATCATGTTAGGCAAGCTCATGGACTGACTACACCATCGACCAAACGCTTGCTGCTGCTCCAGGGAAAGGTTTTTGATGCTGAAGTTAATTATGCTTAACCTGGAGAAAAGTAGGGGAGTGGAGATGTTTTAAACCCTTTGACTTTTGTGTAAAACCTTATATATTTTATTATTGTTGTTATTGTTAACTAAATGAATTACAAATAAATTTTAATGGAAATAAAGCTGCAATATAAATATTGGATAAAAAAAAAAAACTTCCCAAATGAGAACTGTTGCCTAGGGAACTAAGTGATATAAATAAGTTGAATTTTAAATACAAATAAATTAAAGCTAAATAGAAATATCTAAAAATGACAAAACTAAACAAACTAAAACAAACATTAAAACAAACTTTAACAAAAATTGAAAATATAAATGCTAATTCAAAATATTAAAAATAAACAATAGAACAGAATATAAATCATTTTAAATTTACATATAAATTTATCGTTAATTTAAATTAATTGTAGTATAAATTTTCACTAAATTTTCATAAAAAAGAATAAAATGAAGTTGAAATAACAGTAATAATATAAATAATAAACAAGAAGTGAATGGTGTGATTAATAGATGGTTCTTTTTAAGCTCAGCTATATATGTGTGTGTCACTCACGCATTGATATTATTTTGTAGCGGCATTGACAAGATTTCTGAAGGTGTAGCTAGAGCCAACAAAAGACCCATGTCAGAAAACAGGCTTATATCCTTGGGCAGGTGTATTTGGAAGAGCACAGACACCATGGTGTGCAGGTAATCATCTGTTAGCTTCAAAAAAGAAAAAGAAAAAAAACTGTAAATTACATCAATGCATTTATCCTGATTGTTTGTTCCTTTTTTGTTTATTTTTAAATATATAATGATGCAATGATGAGATGGTCTACCTGCAAAGTGTCATAGTTCCTGTTATAGAACAGCAGAATCTCCCTCACGATTATGCTGTCTGCTGCACTGAGCACTGATCTCAGATGAGATAGAGGAATACGGAAATACTCCTGCAAAAGCAATGATGTGTAATTCAAGCTGTTACTCACTGATTTCAGCAAACAAAAGCAGATATTCTCTATGAATGATAATGTGGATTGACAAAGCAAAACATGAATTTGACTCAAACACTTTTAAGTGTTATTTTTAGCAGCTCAAAGCTACAAATGTAAAACATGCGAATGAAGTTGTGAATCCAACCTTGATCAGGAAAAAGTTAGTGGGCACATTTCTTCCTGTTTGCATCAGACTGCTCAGAACTTTCTGAAATACACATATGCAAAGTTTCAACCAGAAATGCAGTAGGAACAACAACAACAACATACGTTAGGTATTTGTATCACAGTACTAATGTAGAGACAAATCAAATGACTCAAGAGTTAATATTACATGCTAAGGAAGAGATTTAGATTATCCGGTGTCAGGTCTAACACCTTATACCTCATGTTGATGAGCTAGATCATGGGTCAATTACAAAATAGTGGTGAACCCGGTAAAGGATATGCTTAATTAATAATCAGAAAAACCAAAAGAACTTCCAGAACTAGTTCACAGTGTCTTTTTTGGGAAACAGTGGTCTAATGAAAACAATGATATGCCCTATTCTTAATATTAATTACTTGGGTTTGTAGCGATTTAATAATAATAATACCAACCCCAAAGCACTGCAAAAGCACACGCTTGTTGTCAAAGTTGGTTTCATTGTCCATGTAGGCGACAACTGAGTCCAACACACTAAGCCAAATATTCTCTGTCATCCTTAGAGAGGTCATTTGGCTTTCTTCTAGAGCCAACAGCAGGACAACCCACAGGCTGGTGGCCTGCTTGACCACCGATGTCACCTGTGTAGTCATGAGATTCTCCAAGCGAGGTTGGAGGATCTTTATCCCACAGCGCAACAGCACCCGAAGACCCTGGACTTGACTGGCACCTGGTTGGCAGACAGCGCTGAAGTCTGTGCTGCATGTCCAGTTTAGCCTTTTAACTAACTCCATAGTTAGACATGGCTGGGGAGTTGTTTCATTGCTCCCACTGACGGTGGTGGTTTGGGGAGCTGTGTATGTGGCACAGAGAGTGCCAACCCAGAGGCTGGAGGCCTCCTGAGTGATGTGGGTCAGCATGGAAGAGTCAGCACAGACGAAGGAGATAAAGTTGGCCTGGTCATAGTCCCAGCAAAGGGTGAGGAGAGCAGCGTCCGGGAGCACCAAAGCCCAACTGGAGTACTGACACTGCTCAGCTGGTCGGAAAACAATCAGGCTCCCCCCATTCCCAGCCCCACCACCTGGGCCAGGAGCAGTCAGGTTTGAGCATTGCTCCAATAACCAGGTGTTGTCTAAATTGGCCAGCAAATTCTGGAAAACTGTAACGTTGGCACATACATTCCGAGTGAAGTTCTCAGTGTCAAGATCTGCACAGAGAGCAAGGTCAGTCATGTCTACAATAGTAGGCTGGCTCCAATCTGAATAGACGCAAACCTGCTCCAACACACTTGTGGTGTCATTATTAGAGCACTCTCTAATCAGCCACTGGTTGTCAACATGAAGGGACAACTTGTCATACAAGGGTATGTTGCAGCAGACGTTCTGACGGAAGCCAATCTGGTCGTACTGCCAGCATAGAGCGACCACAGACGGATCCACAGACATGTTAGTCCATTTGCTATAGTTACACCAAACTTCAATGCTCAGCAGCGGTGGGCTCGTAGGGGGATTCCTGATAGAGTAGGTGCAATATTGCTCTACCCAAGCATTTGCGCTGTTCTGCACAAGTAGAGTGACGAACTTGTGGTCAACACACACCTCATTAATGAACCGAACCTCATCATTTTGGATACATATAGACATCTGTTCAGGGCTGATTGCTCGCACGTTCTTCCATTCAGCGTATTTGCAAGACTCAGCCACAAGGGTGTTAATGTCAATTTGTGGAGGAGGTTCAGAGCAATTGGGCTTCAGCCAGTTGTTTTCATCACTGGAGAACACAACCATAAAGAAGGCCATACTGTCACACAAAAAAAAATGAAATCTCTCCATGTCATTATACCAGCAGAACGTCACTATTGATGGGTCGATGGTTTCAGCAGTCCATATGTTATATGAGCAATACAGGTTCACTATGTATGAGTCTGATGTGTTTGCACAGAATTCCCAAACCCAAGCATTATTAGGATTTCTGACCAACACTTGCATAACTTCAGCGTTGTTACACACAGCAAGGATGAACGCCGCACGATCATTTTCACTGCACATTGAGACCAAAGCTGGGTCTGTAGCACCATCAATAGTCCAGTTCTGGTAGTCGCAGAGGAGTTCGCTGAGGCTGAGAGTGGACCGTGCACTACGACTTGATTGTGCGGTGCCAGGATCACTGCAGGGCTCAATAAGAGGTAAGATGCCATTCTTGATCATGTGACACATGTTCCTCCATACCTTTGTCACTTCGGTTTGAGAGAGTGTGCTGAGTGCTTGACACATCTGATAAAGGACATATGATTCCTGAGATGTTGCTCCTAAAATTTCTGCACAAAGTGTTTCGTTGAGTTGGTTCAGGTTTTGTTGTTCGCAGGTGAGAACAGACATGGGAATGTCCACTGAGGGTGTGCCAGTACGACCGAACTGGATGCTGTTTGTGGCCTGACATTCTGGACCTGGGAAACTGCAAGGAGGAGTTTCAGGAGCCAAAAACATATCCAGAAGTGACTGCCCAAAAGACCAGCTCACATTATGATTCATGCCCCTAAATACAGAAAACAAGCGATAGAATGAATAGTATCATCTTATAGTAAAATACAAATGGAAATTAATACTTTTATCATCAGAAAACAGTGATATGATTTTTTTTTTTGCTTTTTACTTTAAATAAAGAATATTGATGCATCATCATAATATAATATATAATTCTTCTCCATATTTGTAACAGGAATATGGGCTTCCAGTGACATACCACATGATAAGCTGTTTGAGGTCACCTGTGTACAAAAGACAGAAGGAGACATTGATGGAGAATCACTTATTACACTGAAAAATGTATTCTAATATATGCAACAACAAAAAAAGTAACTTCATAAATAAATAAATAAATATTGAAGAAACAAACTTAACCTAAAGCTATGACACACCTTGTTGACACTTCTCACTCTGGTCTAGGGTAGGGATCTCAATGCCAAACTGTAATCCAAGTTTTAGAAAATCCACTGGAGTTTGAAGTGCACTCAACATGACATCAGACATGAATGACATCACAGGTGGAAATGCCATGTCCATAAAACTATTCCATAAGGCTAAAACGTTGTCTGATAGCAGATAAAGTGGGAGGTCTGAGGACAAAACATTCATCAACATCTCCTGAAGAGAGTTTAATTGAGCCATGGTGGGGTCTGCCATTCGCATATTAGATGCTGACATGCAAGCTTCAGCTTTAACAGAGGAGATCACAGAAAGTACTTGTTCATTCAATGCAGATGAAACGGTACTAGTTACATCTGCTTGCCATCCACAGGGCTGTCTGTCTGCCAAAATGCAAATTAAAGCCTGAGGAAGAGTTTCAATGAAACTGTCAATCAGCGCGGGCTGGTATATAGAGAATAAACTGTTGAATATTGACAAATAAGTATCTAGGCTAGTGCTGTCAATCGCCATTCTCTCAAGGGGTGCTGACATTCTGCTCATTCTCTGATGGAGATTTGGTGAGGCCTCTTTTCTCTGTTCTTCTTTTGACAAGGATCTGATGTTCTCCATCAACACTTTGATGTTCCTCTCAAATTCATCCTCACTCCTGGAGCTCTTTTCACTCTGTCTGATGATGGTCTTGGGTGATGAGGGTTTTATGGAGTCACCACATGCAATCCCTTTGAAGAAGAGGTAAAAAAATTGTCTTACTGCCTGAGTGTTAATGCATTAATATAGCTGGTGAAACAAATGGACACAAGGTATTCATAAATTAAAGGGGCCATATGATGTTGCTAAAAAAGAACATTATTTTGTGTATTTGGTGTAATGAAATGTGTTTATGCGGTTTAAGGTTCAAAAAACACATTAATTTCCACATGCTGTACATTATTGTTTCTCCTCTATGCACCGCCTTTCTGAAGGTTCAAAAAACACATTATTTTCCACATACTGTACATTATTGTTTCTCCTCTATGCACCGCCTTTCTGAAACGCGTAAATTTTTACAACATTCATCGGTCTGAAAAGCGAGGTGTGCTCTGATTGGCCAGGTATCCAATGCGTTGTGATTGGCCGAATACCTCAAGCGTGTGACGGAAATGTTATGCCCCTTATCATATTGTGATGTCCTGTCCGGCCGGAGCGACGTGGCAAAAACATTAAAACCCATTATAAACGAGGCATTTGTTGCATCCAGTAGGGACATAATTACGGATTATAATGACTTATACTGTCTTTTTACACGTTGCCTTGCATCATGCCGCGTAAACATAAAACCATGTCTGCATTCGTGATCAGAGA